CAAAGAGAAGGGAAGAGAAGAGAATATTCACACCTTTAATTCCAATTCATCTGTTTCTTCCTATACAAAATTCCATTTTTGAAAGTTACAATTTTGTTGGTGAACCTATTGAGAAAGAAACATAAATTATAATTAATAGATTATATATTACATGTTTAAGTTTAAGAGCATAGCATAGCATAGTTATTATAATTATAGTATATTATAGTTATTATATTGCATTTATTATGTATTTCAATTTGAAAAATTCTTTTGTAAGTGCAATTATCATAAGACATGATAATAATGGGTCCTCATCCAAGTATTAAACTGATCCAGACACGCTTATCTTTTTTAAATTAGACAAGGCAAGGTGTTGCTTTGTAAATCTAATACTGTCTCAGTCAAATATAAAGCCACCAGAATGTGAAATTTGTAGAGAAGGTTAAATTTGTATTGCATATTAAGCATTCCCTCATACATCAGGCCGCCCCTCTGCAAAGTTTATGGCACTTTTATCATGAGTTAAATTCTGATAAACAAAAGCAAGTTGAAACAAAGAAAAAAAGAGAAGGGGCTTCAGAACAGTTTCAATCAAATTAATAATTTAATAAAAATAATAAAAAAGGTAACAAAAGTAACAACAGCCAATGCATCTGGGAATTATTGTAGGGTATGAATTAGAAATCTGATTTGTTAAATTGCATAAAATAATGAAAAACAATTCAATTTAAAAACTTAGTTTTAATGCTATTCTCATACATTTTAATTGGATAAAATTAACAAAATATGGCATTTCTTCTATAGAAGTATAGTAACAAAATAATGCTTAAACATGATCGTTAATCATTTTTCTTTGGACTATTGCTTTGCAGTAAATTGGAACTATTTTATAATTGAATACTTTATGATTACAATTGTGTATCTTACTGCAATATTAGTGAGATGTAACAAGCCAAATTACAGCTTTCATTTTTTTTAAATAATGCAAATATTCTTATAATTCCAGTATCCTATTTAAGCAACAAAAAAACCCCAACAACCAGGCAATATTTCATTCACTTCCAAACAAAATGACAGAATAAAGAGAATTAAGCATTTCACCCATGATCATTTCAGGATCATCGTTTTTAGGAGGAACATTTTTTGGAGAGGACACTGCAGTGATGCCATTTTAAAAGGAGAAGACTATTAGCATTCATTCTGTACAAAAAATGCTCTGGAAACTGTCTTGATTGTCTCAAGGGCCATTTATCGCTGATATTATAATCTGTTATTTCCACAGAGAGCATCATTTGAATTGCATCCCTTGCTCAAATTGTCCTGGATTCTGATTCTGAGCCTGTCAAAAGCTCTAATGAATACCCTGTGTATCTTCTTCCTGCTGCCTCATTTTTAAGTTAATAGCAGCTTCCTGTACAGACTGAGATGCCAGGCAAGGCCAGGCCAGCTCTTTTATCATTTTATTTCAATCTGAGAAAGGCTGCCAGACATGTATGCCCTTCCTTTTACCTCTTCTATCATTCAATTTATTGGTCACCGAGCAGAAGAGAAAGAAAATATATCTATGGTGTACACTAGACAGTTAGTCAATAACAGTATTTTATTCCTGTTATTCATCACAATTTTCCTATAGATTTAATACACAAGTTAGATTGTGTCTGAAGCAGAAAACATATAGTAAGATTTAAAATGAAGTAGCATTCTTTAAATCAAACAGCCACAAAAATGGCTGTGATCTGAAGCTAAATAACAGCTACTCCTTGGAGCAGAATCTTCTGCTCTAACATTATTTACAGTTTTATATTAATATAAATCAATTGTAGTAATCAATTGACTTGTTCACATAAAGTTTGTTGGTAAGAAAAGGTATGTGTTAGGTCAATATATTATATTAATTATATCCAGATAAAGTATTCACTGTTAACTGTAACAATTATAGTAGCCATATTTGGCACATTTTTTTTATCACACCAAACTTTTTAGGTAACTCTGTGCAAGCTAAGGTTTTTAATCTAGCTATTTCTTTGCAAGCCAGTATACTGTTACTAAATAGAGAGAAGCAGAATAACAAGAAGTAGAAGAAGTGTGAAAGTAGAATGATTTCAGAAAGAGAAAAGTTTATATGAAAATGTATTAGAAGACAAATGAATCTACTAATATAAGATTTGGAAGGTGCTTGGAACAGAGAGAGAATGATAATGTTACAGAGTACCACCAAAATTTAGTGATTTAATGGATATAAAATTTGTTTCATATGTGGGTGAAGAGGGCTAATACATAGCCTCTAGCAGAGTAGATGGAATTAAAAATAAAAGGAATGAAAAAATTTGGCATGAATCTCAAATGAAAGAATTCTAGAAGCAGTATTTAGACATGGCTATGGGAATTATAATGATATGTTGAAGAGTAAAATTGAAACAAATACTATAAACTTAAGTGTCCCCAAAGAAATTATGAAAAGAAAGTCATGAATGTTGCAAAAATGTTGAAATATAGTACTTACCGTGTTTCCCCGAAAATAAGACAGGGTCTTATTTTCTTTTGACCCACAAAATATAGCGAGGGCCTTATTATCAGAGGAGGGCTTATTGTTTTGGATTGCTGGGAGGCTGCTCTCTTGTGAGTGGGCACAGTCTCAGGGTCGAACGGCTGTGTTGTGCTGCTGCAGCAGCAACACAGCAGCCATGAGGTGACCATGCTCACAAGCAGCCACCCGGCAACCCCCTTTTCCAGCCAGGCACAGCACCATTCAGTGACCTAGGGGTATTGCCAAGCCACGGGAGTGCCTGTTCACCACCCTCTGGCTCCCACAGCTCGGCGCCTTCGGAATGCCCCTAGGTCAGTGAATGGGGCTCTCCAT